AACCCACAAAGTCAACCCTCTTTATTTTATAAAAATCTAGTTAGTTTATAAAAGTGTGGCATTTTTTTATAAAGAGAGTGATATTTTATACAAATTGTGATATAATAATGCATAATTACTAAATTTGAATCATAAAATTTCAAATTATCATAAAAACCTCATTATCATCATAACAATTAGTATATCATGTTATGAATATTATTTTTTCCAAAATAATATATACTTGAATTATCGAATTCTGCGTTGTAAATCCTAAATAGGATTTTTATTCACTAATTGATGAAAACGACGTACTTTGTATTAACACTCGTAACTTGTCCATTAGAAATATTAGGAAACGTCGCGCTTATCCTAGAACCCTAATTCTATCCGAGTTGACTTGGTTGACTTGTTGGCTTTGTTTGACCCATAATTGACAGTTGTCATATCATCCCCCCGTTAGAAGGAATTTCGTCCTGAAATTCGCACTTTAAGTAGGTTCTCACGATCTAGGGAAAAGACATAGGTATTTCCGTTCATTCGGTCCTCCCGTTTCCAAGTAATTCAGGCCCTCGCTTGGCGTTCCAACGGAACTTCACTATGGGTATACGACTTTGCTTCTTTCTTTGGACATCCCTCTCCATGATTTCCACAGGTTCCTCGACAAAGTGGAGCAACCTTAATGCTAGTGTGATAATTGTTATTGTATGAGAATTCGATGAGGGGTAAATGGGTATCCCATGCTTTTCCGAAGTCTATCACACAAGATCTTAACATATCTACGAATGTTTGAATAGTTCTCTCGTTTTCCCGTTGGTTTGTGGGTGGTAGGTTATACTCATGTCAAGCCTGGTTCCAAAGGACTTTTGTACTTCTTGCCAAAACCGTGAGGTAAACCTGATATCTCTGTCAGAGATAATGGATATTGGCATGCCATGCAATCGTACCATCTCCTTGATGTACGTCCTTGTCAGTTTATCCATTTTGTCTGTCTCGTTTATTAGCAGGAAGTGCGCAGATTTGGTAGATCTATCGACGATCACCCAAATGGTGTCAGGTCCACCCGTCGTCTTAGGTAACTTGGTTATGAAGCCCATGGTTATCCGATCCCACCTCCACTTGAGTATGTCTGGTTGCTGAAGCAAACCCAAGGGCTTTTGGTATTCTACCTTGACCTTGGTGCAAGTCAAGCACTTGCCCACATAGGTAGCGATTTCTGCCTTCATGTTAAAGTTTCTTGAGGTCCAGATACATCTTGTATGAACCGGGATGAACGGAGTATTTAGTTTTGTAAGCCTCGTTCATGACAATGTCTCTGTACCCAACAAATTTTGGCATCCAAATTCGATTCATGAGATAAGAAGCCCCGTCACCCTTGACCTCAAGGTTTTCATCCATTCCACGCAAGGCTTCACTTGCGACGTTCATGGGTTTCAATGCTTGAAGTTGCACCTCCTTGATCTGCGTGAACAGGTATGAATGGATGGTTATGGTCAATAATTTTACTCGTCGTCCCAAGTATTCTTTTCGACTTAGGGCATCCGCTACTACGTTGGCCTTGCCCGAATGGTAGCGCACTTCGTATTCGTAATCATTTTGCAGTTCCACCCATCGCCGTTGTCTCATATTGAGTTCTTTTTGATTGAGAATGTGTTGGAGACTCTTATGGTCAGTGAAGATTGTGCACTTTGTGCCATGAAGGTAGTATCTCTAGATGTTTTAAGTAACACTATTGCCCCTAAATTAAGGTCGTGTGTGGTGTAGTTGACCTTATGAGTCTTAAGTTATCTCGAGGGTACCTTCCTTCGGAACTCTGAGCAGATGGTATCCCGACCTTAGATCAGCTTTATGAGAAGTAGCTCGTTCCTTGAAGTTGGTTGAACAGATTGTCGATTCGGGGTAGGGGGTATCGGTCCTTGATGGTGAGTTTGTTCGACTCTTGACAACCAACGAACATACAGGATGATCCGCTTTTCTTCTTTACGAACAAGACTGGCACTCCCCAAGGTGAGAAGCTCGGTCCGATCTAACTCTAATTCAAATGACCCATAAGAACTAAAATTAAATTCACTACCAAGAAGTCAAAACAGAAAGTTAGAAAAACTAGGGTTCTAACCACACATGACTAGAATAATCAACAAGTCTAGAAAATATGAAATAATCCACAAACAAGACTTACAAATCTAACAATAAATGTTTCCAAATGTTTAGAATCAAAACCTTGAAATGATGCTTGAAATTGTCTTTCTCCAGGTGCTAAAAAATGAAGCATGTGTGTAAAAATGCCTAAAAACCTCAGATAAAATGAAAAGGAAAAACTGTTAAATGGCAACTATTGGGCCGAACATGGCCCATGTCAAAATATAGTAAATTAACACGGCCCATGTTCTGTAGAAAGTAGCTTGCCAATTCCAGACCTTCCTCCAAAGTAAAATGCTAAACAATTTAGATTTGGGCCAACACGACCCGTGTTGATATAGGCCAAAACAACACAACCCGTGTTCAGCAAAGTTGATAACTCACTATTTGTTCAAATACATCTCGTGGTCAGTTTTTAGCGCAATTCTAACTTTTTTCTCTCTGATTCTAGGCACAAAGTTGATTTTTTTAATTTTTAATATTTTTGTTTTACGTCCAATCATCCCGCTATCTTCACATGTTCTTTCCGACACCTCTCACAACGTGTTTCCACCTACGGATCACCTGAAAAGACCATAACTTGGGTTGTGGTGACTTGGTAAGACATGTGGAAGATATGGTGGATAACCTATTGACCCATGTTCAAATCCTGGCACTACTCAACCCTTGTGGCCATGGAGGTTCGCCTGCAGTGACTCAGCGGGGGATTAGTCGGTACGCGAAAGCTGGCCCGGAAACCCTCGTTAGGGAAGTTCCCTTTCCAAAAAAAAAATGTGCAAATAAGTTTGTTCTTGCAACTAACATGAATTTTAATAAAATCATATGGAATGAGATAAACTACACTAAATGGATGCATAAAAAGGGACAAAAAAGTGTGCAAAAAGGTGCACAAAAAACACCTAACAACAATCTATATCAAAGTAAAGGGTAGACCTTATTAAGCTCATTTGATATATCTTTTATTAAATGACATATTTCGTACATGTCAGTCTTGGTCCGTGTATTTTTTATGATCAGATGTACTGCACCAATATGCCTAAATATAGTGTGTTAGTCTTTGTGTTAGGGTTACGTGTCTTTGTTTATACGTTCTTAACAGTATGTTATTGGAAAAAGCAACTATCGTAAACCTACACCTTCTCATCAATGAGCTAAAGTAAATTATTTACATTTTGTGTTGATTCATTTTGCGAATTGTTCTTACATTCTTTTGTTCTAAACTCAAGCAGTAACAGAGCTATCAAGTATTGTAAACCTACACCTGATCAATGAGTTAAACTGAATTATTTACATCTTGTATTTGATTCGTTTTGTGAATTATTCTTACATTTTCGTGTTCTAAACTCATCAATACAAATGATTATCATGTTAAACATCTTCCTATGATTGACAACAACGCTGTAATACAAAAAACAAATTGGGTTTCGCTAACTCTTTTCTTCATCCAATAAAATTTATGAGTTTTAATTTATGTATATTTGTTTTAAATGAAATAAAGTGTAACCGGTTGAAAAAAAAAAAAAACTATAAGTTGTTAGCATAAGGAACAAGTAATTTAGCTAGTTAGTTATTAGACTAGAATGCATAAGTACCAAATTACATTTATTTATTAGTCAAAGTTAGCAAATACGACCCAACAACCCCATTTATCTTGGCGTTTGAACTAGAACTCACATATGATTTAGATTGGTTTTAGTTTTTTTTTAACGGGCAAATACAAATATATAATCTACTCCTAAACTAACACATATGTCCACGACGAAACATGAACCCTTGACCTCAAAGAGAGGCACCACCTGATACCGCTGGGGTAGAAGCCCTTCGGTAATTGGTTCTAGTTGTCAATAATTTGTTCACTTTGGTTTGAACTTGAACATAACTTTATATATAAGATGCATGATGTTTTTGGTTCGCGATATATTATTTTAAAAAACAATTCTTTACAATATATGATTAAACTATAAAATCAAAGTTAGACTTTCATTGAAAAAAGGAAATAAATTCAATTCAATAGACTTGTAACATCCGATACAAAAAACAACAATAAAGTACATCAAAAGATCAAAGAATCATACAACATTTGCTTTCGCAAATGTCAACTTCCACATTGATAAGAATATACATAGAACTACGATCTATGTTTATATTAGTGAGAAACAATTTAAATATTAAATAACTAAATAAAATATACAAATTGTAAATGACTAAAAGCCTTAACTGTATATTTAGGTATTTGGTATTCAAAATGATTTTTTTAATCTTTTGGGAAGAAAGTGAGAATGTACTAGTATGCTATGTATAAATCAATCATAGAAAAAGCATATGGTTCCTATATATGTAAATTTTAAGAGGTATTTTATTTATTTATTTATTTTTATTTTCTTTGTGGGGCTCGCGAATCAATGGCTTGTTTTTCTTTCCAATGTCTTGATATTCTCTGCATCTATTGATGGATGCTTTTAATCTTATTACCATTGTCTGATCGGCTAAATGTTGGTGGCAAAATACTCGAATAGCATATAATTGGTCTCTTTGAACTTCTATCCAATCTTCATCAGCATCATTCGTTTGATTGAGAGTTATGATTCATATTCCAATATGGAGCAAAGGTCACAAAACTTCTGATCTCTTCATGCATGTGTGTTTTCTTGGTATATTTGTGTGGGAATTAAAGCGGATTCAATAAATATACAAAAGATTTTTAGGTTCTCATGTGGATAAGATTTACACCATACAGTAAAGATAAAGAAACATGAAGCTTGATCAATAGATTGAAGAGAGATGCATGTGAAAATTTGTGGGGGTTCCATAACTACATTGTAAGAGAAGCTTACGTACACCGCACATAGAGGTAGATACCATATATGGCAAATAAATAAATAAAAAAAATAAAATAAATACGAATATTGCCTGATAAACTTCATTTAAGAAGAGATTACACCGTATATAAACTCAGAAACTATCAAGCCTTTAAGGCATTAAATTAAAGAAAAGAAAAAAAGAAAGAAGGTTGCTGAATATCGGCTATAGAAAGAGAATAAACAAACAAGAAAGAGTAAATAAAAAAACATGGCCGTTGAAGGGCAAGTTTCTCTTCCTTGATTCCTTTTCTTTCTGAAAAAGAAAAAAAAATCAAATCAAATCTTTATATATTGATCAAATAACTACCAAAACAGACATACACGGTTAAGAGAAATGAAATGCATGTTACTTAATTACCTTAATCATTCCCTTGGTGTTTTGCATTTGTAGCATTCCATTCTGCTAGCATAATTGTGCACTCCACAACCTAATCTGCATGATATCAAACAACGAACAAGAAATAAGAAGCTTTTCATATAAATTTATTGGTTAATGTTTTCATTAAAAAAAAATTCTATACCTATTGCAAATCCAATCTCCGGTTTTCCAACCTGGAACAGCGCTAGCATCATAACCATAACATGCTGCTGTCGTCGCAGCCATCATAGCGCTATAATCTTTGAGTCCTCCACACCTATAACATGCGTTCCTACTAGCATAATTGTGTGTCCCACAGTTGAATGTAGCACAATACCAATCACCAGCCAAAACCTCCGTTGTGTTCATACCATAACATGAAACCTCTTCAGGGGACGCAAACTTGGGACAATGACATCTTTGACAAGCGTCTCGTTTCTTGAAGTTCATATGCTGACATGAAGCACACATCCAGTCTCCACTGCTCATTTTCTCTTGTTGTAAGTTTTAGACCTGAAACATCGATGAAAAAGAACCATCACATTCTATCTCCTTTGAAGCTTAAAAGTAGTTAATTATGCATGATGCACAACTACAAATCATATGATGATCATTCATAGAAAATTCTCACATTTTATCTCCTTTAAAATCTTTGAAAACACCGTTTACCTATAGAGTAAGTACTGACCTTGAGAATGTGTTGATGTAGTAATCACGGAATGAAGCAAACTAGCAAAAGAAGAGATGGTATGATAATATTTGAGTTGGTGATTTTTTTTTAATGGAACTTGAATGGTTTATATACTTGCCAAAAGATTCTCAAAAGTGGGACCCATGTAAGCAATAGAACTAATAAGCCATCTTCCTTAGACATCTATCATATTGTTTTTTATTTGGTCTCCTTGGAATGGGATTCGAAAAGTTAGAAAAGTTCCATTTTGGTCTAGATAATCCTTTCAAATCAGTTTATTTTGGTTAGTTTTGAACATATATATCTCGTTCTTACGAGTGGGATCTAACTGCATCTGAAACATGAGTAATTGTTCAAAAGTTGAAATCTTATTATAATGAGAGAAAACATGCATACATTTTTTTTATTAAGTTACTAGTTTGCATATGTCTTCTATTTCAAGGTTGACTGAAAGATGTTTTTTTACATGCAGAAATTTTGTATGAAAATTACTTAGGTATCACGTTAATTTTACCCTCAGGTCTCAAACTCCCAATCCATTTCTTGTAAAATATATTATATGCTAATGTGTCCATGAGGAGACAAACAGATAAACTTAGTTTTAGATGCATGGAGGTGGCAATGTACAAACGAATAAAATGTTCCCATATTAAAATTCCAAGAATGCCCCTTCTTTACATGATTCCGCCAGCATTATTTGAACAAAAAGGCTTCGAAGTTATTCCCTTTCATACTATTTCCACTTTTAGTAATATATTATGAGGATTTTAATGTTATTAATTAAGGAAGTGAAGAGTGCATGATACATCCATCCATCTTTCTTCATCCCTCTCCTAATTGATTTCTTACATGCACGACCCCACTCATGACATGCATGCATACAATGTATAATTAACAGATGAACCTTTTATATGTAGGTTTATATAGTTCCGATCAAGGCGGACTGTTTCTGCTTAGTTATCTGTTTATTTATAAGAACTAATGTTCTATTCTTTCTTTCACATGAGAATAAATTCCTTATAAAACAATGGTGCACCATTACAAAATTCTATTCTTCATGGCCTTTGATTATTTTTATAGCAATAATTCAAATCGCTACATTCAGATTCATTTTTACCTACCTTTATTAGCAAAAATATAGCTTATTGGTATATTTTTAATAGCGAAAATTAATAAATAGTAGGTTATAAGGATAGAAAATAAAAACATTAGACAAGATGGAGGATGTAACATGGTTACAAGATGACGACTCGACCCATTTTCACTCTTTCGATCTCTCCAGCGATTTCGACTGACAAACCACCATTTTCAGCTAGAAGCCCGTGGCTTTTAACACCATGCCACCAGGAACCACTGGCAACGGGCTCGACTTTATTGGCGATCAATTCGACAATCACCAACCACATTTGGTGCTTCTCCTCCCTCATTTCTCTTTGTCTTTCTCTTTTGACTAAAATTTTGAGTTTATTTGC